AGGATTCAGCAGATACAGATTTAAGAGATTTGAAAGCTTTACTTTGACATACAGCCATTTCTGACTTCAGTTTCAGTTCAGCATTCACTAGACAAAAAAGTTGTCTTCCTATTCCCAGTTACAGAAACCTCCAAAGCATTTACTTTTTGGATATGAAAACTCACATTTAGAGGAGAAAAAAAACAAACCAAGCAACCAAGAAATCTCAGTCATGCTGGCATTGTATGCAGACTTGAACCTATTTGAGCTTCAAGGCAGTTCAAACACCTCAGTCTCCACTCTTTACAATACAGGATTTTCCTTTTATCAGAAGGTCCTTGATGCAAATTTGAGTAATGCCATGTTTGATACATCCATTTGTGTGGAAGAAAACAAGCATGATTGCAGATAGGTGTAAACTTGAGGTGATAGACCTGTAAGTCTTGTCTTTGGAGCCTGGAGGCAAAGGTTGCAAAACCTTCCTGTCCTGTTGCTGATGAATCCAATCTGGCTCCTGCTGTCAAAGGGATTGCAGGGGCTCCTTTAAACACAGGCTTCAGATCTCACTGCGCCCATACCCAGGAGCTGCGGTCTTTCCTTACGTCTGCAGCTGAGCTGTGTGACACAGGCTGACTAGTCTAATGGTGGGGATGAAATATGGTGAAATCTATTTTCTTGTCTAATATGAAGTCAGTGGAAATATAAAGTATTCTGAACGGAGTTCCTAGTTACCAGGATCTTAAGGGGCTTGTTGAATTCAAAATTCTCCTTTAGAAAGCCACTTGATGCAAGGATGTTGCCTTTTTTCTTTACAAGCAGCTGAAGCCTTTCTTTGAGCTAGATTCTACTCTCAGCTTGAGCTTCTAGCATTGAAACTTTAATTTTATTTCTGTTATTTATTTATTGGAGCATGTTGCGTCACCTCAGAGTAAATGATCTTCAGGTATTACTGGATTTCAGTGGCAATTTTACTGCTGGAAGGTGAGTATCTATGGGATGTGCCCACAGCAGCCTGCATCCACAGCCTTGCCAAAAGATGGTAATACCCCTTAATCTAATAGAGGTGCTGTCTGATCTGTAAAGCAGTTTTCACCTCTCACAAGAGATGAAAGAGGCATTGGCTTTTTCACTTCAGGCAGTGCAAGAGCCTGGTTTGCAGACCCAGCCTGTCCACACAGCCACTGGATTCTGCAGAGGAGATTCAGGCTGCACATGCAGTTATATTGTGCCATGCAGCACGTGTATCTGTCTTCCCAGCTCTTATTTCTACTCTCTCCATTGAGCCAACACTAATATTTGTAAGGCTTTGCAGTGAACTGGATCAGGGAAGTGGTTGGATTAAAAAGTACCACGTTTTTAGTGTGTAATCATGGCTTCGAAGATCAGTCATGGCTCTGGAAATTCCACTGAGCTCCAGTCAACCCAAACATGTTAAGTGAGCTGTTTGACATTAGGTGAGATGAATTACCGCTCTTATTTCTGTTTGCTGAAAATTAATTTCCTCTTTGTAGTTTTTTCTCCGTTATTAATTGCATCTGTTGTGTGAAAGTGAGAGAGTATGATATTTCAAAGAAATAGTTTCATTATCTCCTGAATAACTTTGTTGCTGCCCTATTATCAGTTACTTTTTAAACAGTAATCTTGGCAAAACAAATTTTTAAAACTATTTAGTGTATTATAAATGTGTTACATAAATGAAAAAGCATTGGGGGAAATAGTGGATATATAGTCTTGAAGGTCTAGAAAGCAGCTGAATTGTTTAAAGCAGGAAGGTCAGTCACATTTAAAAGGGTTGAGGAGGGTTGAGTGGTCCTGTTTAGAGACACTGATCAGTAAAATACACTAGCCAATGTAATTTAAAATCCACTGTGACAGAAAACCCTGGATCCAAAGAAACACAGCTTCCTAGCTCAGCAAGTTCTCCTTGAGTTTCACTGAGCAATGTAAACCAACAAAACCCATTTCCATGTTGTTTTTGTCATTTTGTCTGGGCTTAACCCCAGGAGGCAACGAAGCTCCACTTGCTCACTCACCTGCCAGGGGCTGGGGAGAGAATTCAAATCAAGGTTGCATAGAATTTTTCCTTATGTGACTTTTAAGATCCTGACTTTGCAGCTTTGCTGTCAATTTTCAAAATTAGGGTATGTGAATTTTGAATTCTTTTCAAGGCAAGGATACCTGTAGGTTGCATAAGGTATCTTGGAGTACAGCTGAGTAAAGGGAAGAAAGATAACATTTTTCTGAATGGGTTTTTTTGGAGGGGGGATGTGCAACTGGCAGTCTTGATTAAAGGTAGCTTATGAAAATTTTTCTTCACGTGCATAGAAAAATGTTCCCTGACTTAAGTAATTAATACTTTTTAAAATAAAAAATAGTACAAGTATGTAAAGTTACAAACTATGAAATTTGAATCAATTGTCTTGTGATGAGAAAATACGCATCCTTTCCCAGGTGAAAGTCTGGGTGTCACACTGTAGGTACCAAATCCTGTTCTCCGTTCTTTTTTGTGTTGAATCAGGATATTGGAAATATTCTACAGCTTACATATTTAAGGCTCTTCCTATCCAGTGAAGTTTTCTAAAAATATCTATCGCAATCACGAGTTTACATGTGCTGTTTTCAGCCCCAGCATTCTCAAAATGACCTAGAGGTAATGACTGTTTTAACTTTAACCCTGGTATTTGCAAGCAAGCCCTTTACACGATCAATTTGTTTATGCAGTAAGATCAGACTTTGTTACTGCTTCCTAGAGACCTTTGCATCTCAGGGACCTGTTTCCTTACAGAGATTATCCCTGGTGTGGCAAATATTAAATGTGGAAGGGCTGGAGTTTCAGTATCCCTCCATCCCTTTCCAAAAATGAAGCAAGTAACTGATAGCTGCATGTAGAGGTGTTTTTCTTTAATAATCTGACTGATTTCTTTGGGACTGATTTCAGGTTTATAGGTAAGTTACTCAGTGGGTATTCACAGTGAGGTGGTGGGAAAGGACTTCTTGTGAAAATAGACATATTTCAGAGATAACAATATGTGAGAGAGTAAAACCTGTTTAACTTTAAAACCATAATTACATGAAATTATTTCCTTATTTTTCTATGTTCTATTCTCTTGTTTTCAATTTGTGTGTCTTGGTACTTGGGGATAAGAAAGGGGTTATGGAGGCTAAAGTATTGTATGAGAAACTGAGAAAATCCTCTGCCAATGTCTTCGTGGCACAGAACTTTTGTAAATACTTAGGAGACACAGATCTTTGAGTGGAATCCTCATGCTGCATCTACTACATCTACTGTTGTAACATGTACAGAGCTTTTTGTAAAGCAAAATTCTCTCTATTAAATGAGCTTCATACTCATTACCCTTTTTATTTTAGAAGCTTTTTTTCATTCAAGCAAGGATCAATGCATATTATACGAAACCTGCCAGTGAAAGCATATGCATGTGTAAACATGCACGGAACACAAGAGAAGCCAGAAGGCAGTTTACTGCATAAATACTAGGCATATTACTTGTAGATTTTCTGTGCTTATAAAAAAAATTAATTGTCACTATTGTGAATATTAGTATATTTTGAGTCTTCAGAAATTGTTATGTCGTTGCCATGCTTGCTTAAGTACCAGTTAATCATTGACAAGAGCGCTAATAATTAAACGGCTGTAATTTAATTGTGGTGTTCGAAAGTACAAAAGAGTATGTAATTTAATAGTTAAAACAAGAAGCACTCCATTTATGTTTCACTAGCTATTAGGTTGTTTTTACAGAAATGTTGCTAAAAAGGCTGCTGAATTTTACATATTGATTGTACGTGGAAAGGTATCGTGCAGTTTGGGCAATACCAAGCAGCTTTAGACATGTTCAGAGGTCAGCTCTCAAGCCTTTCCTTTGCTTTCCTGACAGATAATGCCTATTTTGGTTGAGGGTAGACTTCAGTGTTTGCTTAATCTTTTAAAAATATGTGTGCTGGATGAAGAAGTGGTACTTGGAGATATGTATATGTGATCCAGCAGGGAGCACTGGGTACAAGAAGCCTAGTGCCTACTGGAACCTCCCCAGCTATCCTGGGGCTGAGTGTCTGCAGAGGAATACAATCCTTCCGTGCTATGAACAACTGGTTTTGCCCAGGAGAGCTTCATGGAGAGCACACTGGTGAAGCAGTGTCAATCATATCCTCTGCTGTTCCTCTCTTCTTTTTGCTAATGGCTCCTTAGGGAGACAAATTGGTTAGTCTCCTTTGGGTTGCTGGAGGCTTCTCTATGCTTTTCCCCTATCACCAAATAGATATATCACACGGAGAGGAATTTAACTTTATTTTCACAAATTACATACAAGGGATTTCTCTTTTCTGAGTCTGTGTATGTTGTGGTTATTTCAGGGACTTGAGTAGATAATTAAGAGCAAACAGCACAGTTAGTTCCAGGTGTTACTGGGCTTACACCATGCTGTGTGTCCAACTCTCACCCACCAGCACAGTGGGTACAGTAATGTCCCTGTTGTCTGTAACTGGAAATCATAGATAAATTCCCATACTTACTCTCATACGTATTCCTGCCTGCTGCACTATGTGACATAGAAATTATTTTCCTCTTCTGGTTAAAACTATCCTGTTTAAAAGAAATCGGGCAAATAGATCTGTACTAACGGTATTTGTAGAATGAGATGGCAACTTAGTAATAGTGACAGCATCACCTTTATTTTTCCTGCTCAAGAAGAGTGAGTAGAATATTGATGTTTGTTATAAGTTTTGGTGGGAAGTGCATAATGCCTTCTGTAGAAACACTTGCCTCAGCAATGGAGAGAAAACTACCAAGATTGACCTTGTCATAACTTTCATTCATCTTGAAGTCTTTTGGGGAATTCTCCCCACCCTGTGCTCTTGATGATTCATGTTGCATAAAGCTTCCAGAGCAGTAGAATGTTGTATAATATTTCACTTTTGGATTAGAAATCCTGTGTTCAGTGTGCTGCAACTGGTTAAAATAATTTTTTTTAATTATCTGAATTTTTAAAAAATTATTCTTTCACCAGTAAAAAGAAGTTTAAGTGACTGCTCTACTTGATCAAAATGGTGGACACTGAAAACCAGCTCTATCCCCTTACTCCCTTGGAGGAGGAGGATATAGACAGCCCTTTATCTGGAGAGTTCCTACAAGATATGGAGAACATTCAAGACCTGTCCCAGTCTCTAGGTGATGATAGTTCTGGAGCTTTAAGTTTAACAGAATTCCAATCACTGGGAAACGGTCCAGGATCTGATGGATCAGTTATAACAGGTAAGAGTTTGGTTTAACATAAAACTTTCTCTTATAAATAGAATGGTAGAACTTAATAACTACTTGAATGCAATAGTTATTGTTTATGATGAAGTGACACTGGACATATATAAGTTTATTATGGCATGGTCTTAAAATAATTAAGGCTAAAGTTAATATATTAGACAAATGTCACTGAAGAATGACTGTAAACTTAAATAGCCTTTAGTCAGAGGCTCTGGGAGATCAGAATGGGAATCACTGCGGTGGTGTGGGACACTGTGGAGTTCTCAGTAAGGTTTTCCTGTTGAATCTGGGTGTTTTTAAGTCTTTTAGCAGGAGAGCCATTTGAAGTAGCTTGCTGTTAACCTTTTGGTTGGTTTGCATTATGCTTTGTTTTGTTTTGGGGGGTTTTTGTTTCAGATCAATTCTCTGCTTGTGATCCCTATTTCACCTTGGAATAATAGAACTGAGGCAGTTGAAATGAACAGTGTGGGTTTGAAGGCAATGGGGAGAGCTGCCTTCTGGCACTATGGACCCAAGGAATGTTTCTAGAACTATGATTTTGTTCCCTTTTGGTTGTAAACCTTCTCATGAGAGAGATGCCATGTACAGGAAAAGTTACGATGTGCTTTATATATGTGTGTGTTTGTTTATAACATGGTCCTTCAGAGGCAGGAGGCTTTACAATTATTTGAGTGTAGGTGTGCACAAGGCCTACAATAATTTAGATTAATTCTACTGTCACCTTCTCATAGAGTATTCTGCTCACTGCCAAATATACTGGTTTTGTGGTCAGAGAACATGGAAAATGTAAACTTCCAAGGCTCAAATTCCATAAAGCAAGTAAAATGAAGAAACACTTTAAAAAAATCCTGGGGTTTAGGCTGTTCTTGATGACTCTGATGCCTGTGGGCTTGGCAGCGCTGGCAATGGAGACTCTGAGTTCCGTGCCAAGGTTTTTTTCCAACATAATACTTGCTGACCTACATTCATGAGTGTTTCTTAATCTGTCTGTTAAAATAACACACCCATTAATTTGCTGAAGTCTTGTGGTGCAAGTTGCAAGATGGAAGATAAAAGGAATTCTGGCCTCAGAAAATATTTTCCTCAAAAAAAGCTGGAAATATTAATTGAAAGAATTAGGATTGGAACGTGTAGTTTTGTAATGTATTCATCTACTGGTGGCACATCTGGTGAGTTTATTTCATTGTGTGATCCAGAAATGCTTTGCCTATCAGAAGAAAAACACAAAATATCTGAGCAAAATAAAAATAAAAATGTCTGCTTCTAAAATAGCAGAAGCAGACATTTGTTACCTTCCTTTTAATATCTGTTCAGCCTTTCTACTGATGTGCAGGACTCATCCATCTGCTTTTCAGCCCTCAGTTTGGATTGCAATTTAAAATTATGAGTAGCTTTTCAAAGGTCAGGGGTCCTTATAATGTATCTGAAGTGGATCTGTGTGAGGTAGGAATGTGTCTCTTGTGGTACTGCCAACAAGAGATGCCCTGCTCATCCCTGCAGCACAAGAGATGGAAGATGCTAAACCAAGATGAGCTGTTCACAGCCTTTCTGCAAACAACAGTGGTGTGGTGTGTATTTATTGGGTCAATTATTACCCAAATAGTTCTTGTTGCCAGAGTCACTGCAGTAAGGCCTTTTCCTTCTTGACATCCCATGTCACATCAAAATTACCCTGTATTTTGTGTGTGTTTGCACTAGAAATATGAATTTTTTTTCAAAGACTTTTGGTTGAACTGTTAGTTCACTTAATGACTATTAACACAAGATTATTTTTTTAGAATAAGCTCATTTTTTGTGTGGTTGTTAGTATAGAAAACGGTATCAATCTTGATAGTATAGTATTTATGAAGTGTTCCTTTTCTTTTTTTAGACACACTTTCACCAGCATCCAGTCCTTCATCCATTAATTTTGCCACAGCTCCAGGTAGCATAGATGAATCACCCAGTGGAGCATTAAACATTGAATGTAGAATTTGTGGGGATAAAGCCTCAGGCTACCATTACGGAGTGCATGCTTGTGAAGGTTGTAAGGTACAGTCATCATTTTCTTCTTAAGAACCTAAATCATGTTACTTTTTTTATGGGGTAATATGAAGATAAACATTTGGTGCATAAATGTTTAATTACCATTCCTATCTGTGGTCTTTTTTCTGAGATAAATCATCCAGATATCATAACTCAGACCTTCATCAAGCAGGGGCAATTCACAGTGATAATTTTAATACTGTTGTTCTGCTTGTAGTTAGTGAAATACTAAAACAAAACACTAAATCGTGACAAAAAAAAAAAAAATATCAAAGCCTTCTTGCTCCACTAGCCATACTCCCACTAGCATTTTATTTGTGTTGGGAGTATGGCTAGGAGGGGTATGCCACATTACTGACAGCAGCAAATCCCAAATTTCTTACCTCCACCACATGCTGCCTGAATCCCTTAGTCTTGTACTTGTTGTAGTTTGGAGGCCAGGGCATGTCTGGCACAAATTACTCATCATTAATGCATAATTCTTGAGATTGTATGACCCATGAAGTATAAGATTCTTTTCTTTTTCCCCTAATGTTTCAGATTTCCATCTTTTTTCTACTAATGTAACAGGAGAGAAATAATAGTCTTTGTGTTATTGTTATTTAACAGTCTTTCATGCATCATGTCAGTATAACTATTTGAATGTAAATCTTATGGAATAATTTGGAATATCTATTAGAGATGGGGAACCAGTTCCTAGCCAGGTGTGTCCCACAGCCTAAATGACATGTTGCTCTGTGATGTGACACAAACTGTTGAGATGGCTCTGGATTTGCTGTCCCTGTGGTTGGGCAATGTGTGAGCAACCTTGCGTTGCAGACTGGAGACATCCTGGAAAGAGCACTTGAGGTAGAGGCTGTTCTACAATAAGCGGTAAAAGAGTAAAAAAAATACCTGTGTGATTGAAGCTTAGTAGTCAATATTCATTAATATTACATATTGTTTTTTTCAAACTTTTTATAGGGCTTTTTTAGAAGAACAATTCGTTTAAAACTCATCTATGATAAATGTGATCGCAACTGCAAAATTCAGAAAAAAAATCGTAATAAGTGCCAATACTGTCGTTTTCAAAAGTGCCTTTCAGTTGGAATGTCACATAATGGTAGGTAAGAGTGCCCTTAATTTGTTTGTTCCTACCCAGAGTCTGCTGCTGGAGGCAGGCACTTGGATAGCATTTTTACTCACACACATGAATTGAACCTCGGATTTTTTACAGGATAGGTTGCTGTGGGGGATGCTAGTTTCCCTGATGTGGTTGATACAGAGCTGCCAAACGTGCTGTTATGAACTTTACACAGTTTGCTACATCTCAGTTTGTCCATATGAATGTTCATTTATTTCCTTTCTTCAACCCAGAACTTTGGCTCCAGTACGCCCATTGAAACAAATTTCAATACTGGAAGAATTCTGATCAAGGGTTTTGTAGAAGAGTAGGAGGAGAACAATTGCTTTCATTGTGAAGGGGAGTGATTTATGATAGAAATTTGAGGAAAGTAGCCTTTGTTATTTTTCAGGTTACAGTGCAACAGCTCTTGAGCAGATGATTCAGAAAGTGGGGAGGGAGGGCAAAGGTCTATGCTGACTGTGCAACAGGAATCTGGTAGGTTATTTGTTAAACAGATTGGTTAAAAATTCAGAGCATTTAGATATCCAGTTTAAAAGTTATGTTGTTGTTTGTGCTAGTGATTTAAGAGAAGGGTGGCAAGCTTGTGGCTTACAGACCAATTTCAGCCCACAAGGCAGTTCTCTGAGCAGGACGTAGCTTGCTGAGCAACACCGGTAAAGAGGGACAGGCCAAGCCATGAGAAAGCACATCTCACCTGGCCAGATGACAATAGTTTTCCCTGCTTGGCTCTGATATTGCCCAGGCTGAACCTGGGGGCAGGTGCAATGTGAAAGTAAGCAAAAATGCTGGGGTAGGTGAAAAACTGTGAGTTTAGGAGACAGATTTCCTAAGGAAATGATGCAGTCGGGATAGGTGGAATGGGAACATGAATGGGGAAACTGCTTGTGACATTGTAGTCTAGAGTCCCAACAGGAGGCATTGTGAGAGTTTTCTTCCTGGTTCTGCAGAAGCCTGGCTCTCCTGCAATGAGCCTTGACTGAGATTGAGGTGCATTGGAAGAGGTTTGGTAGTCTCTGCAAGACTGGGGATAACAATCCTCAAAAAATATGCTGGACAACAAAGTGACATCTCGGGTCACTTGGTTGTCCAGCTCAGTCGGCTGGGAGCCATGCTGCCTGGCAGGAACTGACATCCATGTGAACCTGTTTCATCCTACTTAAAAACACTGTGGCCACCTGTGCTCCAGTTGAAGGGAATAGCCACAGTTTTATTGCAGCAAACGTGGGAGGCAGCAGGGGAAAGGGATGATTGCTAATTTGCTAGTAATACTTCTCAGGAAAAGCGCTACGACTAAATTTACACCCATGATCTTAAAACTGTAAGTTTTAGTTTAGAGCAGGTGTTCTTCCACTATTTTCACAGGTTGGTGTGCCCACTCACCCTTATGGGGAAGGAAGCACCTAAGCCAGATTCCAAACAGGCTTTCCTTGTTGGACTTCCATTGAAGTCCACAGCTGTATTTCAGGTCATGCCTAGAGTCACCTCCTTATGTCATGAGAAGACCCCTGGACACGTTGAAGGGCTGATGGTGTTCATGCCTTGAATTGCTCAGTGTAGGCAGTGAGGTCCTGTCCTTACTGGTTGGATGCTGAAATGTGGCACAAGCAACTCATTGTATGAACCATCTCAAACCCTGGCACACCTCCCAAGGGTAAAATGGGCTGGCTTAGCTTGAAACAAACTGAAGAAGGATTTGGATGTGCCCATGAATGGTAGCACCACTTGCTCAAAAACCAGGAGACCTCCATACCCAGAGGTGTTTCAGACTTGCATCCTCTGCCTCTCAGAAGAATATCCCAATGACCAGGTTGGGTATTCAGGCTGTTCTCCTCTCCAGTCTTGAAGGGCTAGTGTGTTGAGAAAGCAGTATAGCATGTTGTGGGTAGAGGAGATTTTGTTGCCTGTAGCCTTTGAGCTGTAAGTGCAGGTCTTTGGGCTGGGGTTCCCGCTGGCACTACAGATGTGTTGAATGAAGAACTGGATGCCCCTGCAGGTTCTGAGCCAGCAGTGCAATTCAGGCCTGACTGTTGCAGCTCTCCAGCTTGTGGGTGTGCTTTCTGCCAAGTTCCTGTCATGAGTTTACCTAGTGTTTTAAGAGCTCCCAAGGTGGACTTTGAGTTTTGCACTGGGAACTGTAGAATTCAGCAAGGTGAAAACAAAATTCAAGTATATTTAGGTACTATAAAAGGGAAAAGGAATGTGTTCTAGCCCACTGCAGATAGCACTTTGTGTTCTGAAACACCTGATTTCCTTCAGTTTAGCATATTAGTCACTGACTGTGTTGGGAAGGGGCCAATGTCTTCACCTCTACATCAGTTTTTCTAGACAGAAAAATCTTACTGCTCTGATCAGCAATGGTAAAAGGCTTAAGTTCTCGTATAACTTGTGTTTGTTTCACAATTATGTCTTCCCACCAGCAATACGTTTCGGACGAATGCCAAGGTCTGAGAAGGCCAAGCTCAAAGCAGAAATTCTAACAGGTGAAAATTATGTAGAAGATTCAGAAATGGCAGATCTCAAATCACTTGCCAAAAGAATTCATGATGCCTACCTGAAAAACTTCAATATGAACAAGGTTAAAGCCAGAATCATCCTTGCGGGAAAAGCCAATAACAATCCAGTAAGTACTTTTTTTGTTAATTTAAAATAAAACTGACAGGTATGTAAGATGATTGTAATACTTTGGTAGACACTTTAGCAAATCTTTAGAAAATAAATATCATTATAATACAGATGTGAAATATTCAAAATAAATATCTGTAGTAAATATGGTTGCTTTTAACCATATTTAAACACTATCAGAATAGTAAGAAGGTTTAGGAAAATCAGATGATTACCTTGTAAATGGAAACTCATAACCCTAGAATGTTGTCCTTAATCAAAAATGAAGTGATATCTGAATATGAATACCTCTTGATATGGGGAGAATGGTTCCAAATTATTTTCCTATTATGACAGTGAAAAAAATGAATTTTTCTCTCACAAATGCCAGGATAAGTACTATTAGCTTGTAGGGTGTACAAGTGCTCTGCTTGACTTTTCCTTTAATCAGAATAATATTTATAGCAGGAGGGGAAAGAAAACTTGAGTTTGTAATTTTTTGTTTACAGTGTTGGCCATTTCCTCACCCAGCCTTCCTGGTCTTTTCTGTAGGGTTCCTTTGAAAGGCAGAAGCAAGCAAGGTTTTGAAGACACATTTACTGTAGAAGTTATTTTTCTTTCAGGGTAATTTAGCCTAGGTCTACCTAATTTGACTGCTTTTTGTTTAGCAGAACATGGGAGAGTGTAATCGATGTAAGGACTCACTTTTTTCATTTTTTTGTATATTTATTTAAGCTCCACTGTGATTTTTGTAACTTTTATGGAGAAGTATCTTATTTTATCAGCAACTTCAGTTTCAGTAAAAATTTGCAGGGAAGAAACTTTACATATGCCATAATGAAAACCATGTAAGTGTGGGGATGAGTGTTATCAAAATTGTAAGCAAGCTGCCTTCTGTATTATGGAATTTGGCATATAATAGTCTAGTCGAGTCTAGCCTACAGCTTTCTGCATTAGAAGAGAGACACATGAATTATCCCAGTCTTTTTCATTGCACTGAAGAGGTATGTAAAATGTGGCACAGGCTTAAACATTTTAAGGGTACAAACTGATGTGAGCCTACAAGTAAACACCACCTTTAACTTCTCAGTGAGTGGGCTTCTGCAGAAAATCAATTTTGTGCTTGTTACCCTGTGTCAGAACTATAAGCCACAACACGTCAGACATGCAGGGATGGATCATAGAGCATTTAATCACAGTTCTTGTATTTGAATGTGTGTGGCCACAGCCATGGGACTAACCAGCCAGCAGGGACCAGCACACGTGTGCCCGGGTGAATATGCACATAAAAATTAATGAAGAATCAGCCCTAGGATGTTGCAAACACCTTGCTATCAATTTTTTCCATATGCAGGGAAGAGCAAAGGGGTTTTAGGCTATTTCATCATCTCTTAAGTAAACAAACATTTTCATTTTATTTTGACTTTTCAGCAGAAAAACATATTTTAAAAGAAGGGGTTTTTTGATTGGGTAATTAGCAACCCACCTGTTTCAGAACTGTGTATTAACAGCTAATTTCAGTGAATCCTAATTTTTGGCACCACTACAATTAATTTCAGAATGAATGAGCATTTTTCATGATGACATGGTGTCATTTTTTAATGTAGCTCCCAAGTCCTTAGCCATACCTCTTTTTTGCATACTGAAATGATGTTAAATTTTAAAAAAGTATATAAGATCGTGTACATATTTTAAAGGTTTAGAGATGTGTTGTGTTTCATGTTTTGTTACTTTCCACTCATATCCACCTTCCCATGGAAAGTTCTGCTCTGTGTAACTGTGTTGGAATGAAATGGAATGTGTGGTACCCATAAACATTTTAAAATGGAAAACCATAGGAACCTGACCTGTTGGACAGTTCCTCATTTCCGAAGTCGACAAGTGAATTCTATGAGTTCCTGACAGAACACTACGTGTTCCCCATGAGCTTAGCAAAGCAGCACAAGGAAGGTGCTTGGTGTGTATGGAAATAAGTTTCTGTTCAAAGTCAGTTGCTGTGAGTTTGCTAGGCTGGGAAGCACTGGTGTTTGTTGTTTTTCTTTAGTGGATTGTGCTTCATTTAATTGTTGCCCTGCAGATATGTATCAAAATATTTTTGAGTTCTGGTTGTTTGTAAGAAAGTCTGAATGCTGCTTTTGATAAAGATGTTTTAAGAGAGTGGCTTATCTGCTTGTAAAGCATGTACCTTTCAGAACAAATGGGATTATGGAAAAGACCAAATTTTGTGCTTGGCATTCTGGTGGGATTCTCTGTTTAGAGATGACTCAGCACCAACTGCAGTTAGAAAGTTGGAACAACTGGGACATTGTCTATGAGAATCTGATAATAAAACACAAGCGCAGGGTTCACATTCTTATGCAAATATGGTACTTCTTATTGAAATTACTGTCTGTATTCCCCCTAGGGTACTTCAGGAAAGCATCATGATGTGCATCAAGTGGAGTTAGTTTAGGAATCAATAGGAGTGTAGGCAGAATAACCTGGACCTCTGGAGAAGATAACAAAAGTCTTTTGTGAACCCTCTGGGACTGGCTCTGAGGTGGATTTGTGCATCCCAAGCAGAGGAGTGCTGGAGCTTTGCTGTAACTATTAGATAAAACTAAAGATAAGCTATACATCTTTACATTTGACTATTTGCATTGCTGTTTGCAGAGCAGGCTTGTTAGGTATTGCAGTTTCTCATACACTGTTTGTCCTGATGAGAAGTATAAAAGAAGTCAGGGTTTATTGGTAGTTGAGGACTGATTAGCAAGGAGGTTAAAGTTTAGCAAAATTCTTATTTTTTAGGAAGAGAACAATTGATAACCATTATTTAGTGACTGAACTAGTGGGTTTTTTTCTCTGTAGCCATTTGTTATACATGATATGGATACCTTATGTATGGCAGAGAAGACCTTGGTGGCAAAACTGGTAGCCAATGGGATCCAGAACAAGGAAGCAGAAGTTCGGATTTTCCACTGCTGCCAGTGTACATCTGTGGAGACTGTCACAGAACTCACGGAGTTTGCTAAATCCATCCCTGGCTTCTCCAGCCTGGACTTGAACGATCAGGTGACACTACTGAAGTACGGGGTGTACGAAGCCATATTTGCCATGTTGGCCTCTGTGATGAACAAGGACGGGATGCTGGTGGCTTATGGGAATGGCTTTATAACCCGGGAGTTCCTGAAAAGCCTGAGAAAGCCATTCTGTGATATAATGGAGCCAAAATTTGATTTTGCAATGAAATTCAATGCACTGGATTTGGATGATAGCGATATATCCCTTTTTGTTGCTGCCATTATTTGCTGTGGAGGTAAGAATTACCCGTTTGTTCTCTAAGGTAGTAAATTTTAATATTTCCCTCTCGTGAATTAAAAATTTTAATGGAAAAGCTTCTATCCTCTGGAAGATTCAGTTCTGCCACTAAATACACTTTGAGGAATCATTATAAAATTATGACATATATTCTTTTGCTTGTTTTGAGAACAGATCGTCCTGGTCTTGTAAATGTAGGACACATTGAAAAAATGCAGGAGAGCATTGTGCATGTACTGAAACTTCACTTGCAAAACAACCATCCTGATGACACCTTCCTCTTCCCAAAACTTCTCCAAAAAATGGCTGACCTCCGACAGCTGGTCACAGAGCATGCTCAGCTTGTTCAGATAATCAAGAAGACTGAATCTGATGCACATTTACACCCTTTACTACAAGAAATCTACAGGGATATGTATTGAGGACTTTTAGTATTTTTTCCACAATATTTAAAGACAGAGAAATACAGATGGGAGCAAAACTACTTGTACAGTTACGGGCTGTTCACTCAGCCCAGAGCAGGAAAAATCTAAAACTGGGGAACTGGAGTGTTGCACTTCTTTTGGTTTGGGATCTTTTGTCTTCTTTTGAAAAAGTGTTGCAGAAAAATACTGGTCAGAATGCTCAATGAAGTGTCTTAAAATGGTTCTTTTATTTGGAAATTTGAAGATTGGTAAGGAATACATATTTGTATAATAAATCAGAATGTTAAGTAACAGAAATGAACAAAATTGTATTTCCTCTTGGCTTAGTCATTTTAGTATTAATATAACAAATTCAGCACCTTCCTTCCAGGTATCTGCACAATCAGAAAGACAATGCACTTTTGCCTAATGGTAACTACTGAGAACTAGCTAACACTTTTTCTTAAAGCATTCAGTCTAGGTGTAGCAAATGGCTGGATATTACTGTCCTTACACTTCTGAAAATTTGGAAAGATCTTTGATCCATTGCTGCTTTAATTCCATGAAATTATGTACGGCTTCATTTAGTGTTACGTTGGTATACTTAGGGTTAGCATGTTTAAAAGATGGTTCTCTTATGAAATTAAACAAAATCCAAAGAGTTATCTAAAACATAGCGGAGATGGTCCAACAGGTGTGTCTTGAAGAGTAAACATGATAAACTGATGGGACATTTTTGTTTCAAAAGTCTGTTAAGGAAATGTGAAAATATCACTGATGAAAAAGATATCGTATACCCTGTATTTTTGTAGAACTTGTAATAGCTCAGGATACAGTTTTGACATAAAAATACTATTTTGAATTAGCAAGTTTTGGAGAGACTGAAAAAGCTGATCCTACCCTAGGAAAAAAAAAAAAAAAAAAAGAATTTTAACTTTCCAGCAATGATACTGCACTTTGCTGCAGTGACAGATAATTCCAAAAGAATAATTGGATAGAAAAGGCACTGGCTTCCTCTAAATGTCTTGGCAGTATAGTTGTTTGGACCTGTTTGCTTTCCTGATAAATACACTGCTTCAATTTTTTACCCCCTTGGATATATTCCTTCTTTGGCTTCATGCATAGAAGTATTTGGTATTTGTTATCACCAGATTTTGTCCTTGTGGATGAGGTGACACTAATACCAAGAACAGTGTTTGTAGGTGTCATAGAATGGAAGGCAGCACAGCTAAGAGTAAGTTTATCGTGTTCCTAGGAGTAAACTTATTTTTACAACAGCACTTGCTGTACTCCTGCTGCAAAAGAAGCCACAATGGAATGGCTTCCTGACTTTGCTGCTTTTCTCAGAGAGCTGCCCAGAAGCTCCAGCTGCATGCAAGGCACTCTGCTGTTTCTCTTTTGTTTCTTTGATGCTGTAGCTTCACACTATTACCTCCTAATTTTACTTTCTGTTTCACAACAAGGAGGTTTCAGGAGCAATCCCAGCATTTTACAGTTAAACTTGCAGTGGCGCAGGAGGACACTTTGTACTTGTGTTATTGTAGTACATTTGAAGATACCAGAATCTTCACTGCAAGGATTGAGTGATGAAGTGAGAACACCACGCTGTCATTTCTATTTCAGTGGCAATGCTTGTTTCTATCCAGGCCCACAGGCACAGCTGGACACTGGAAACATTACAGATTTAAAGGTAACTTGGGGTTTATCTGGGCAATGATTGTGGGGGAAGTTATAGATAACTATATATATTTAGTGTAAAATATTGAAGCACAGGCCTCAGATTTGGTGAGCATCTAGGGCAGAATAGAAACAGTAGCTGCGTGTGCACAAAACTTCCTCTCCTTCCCTGTTGCCAGCAGGAAGAACACTCAAACACTCGGAGAGGAATGTTGGTCTTGCCAGGAACCCTCAGATGAGAAATGGGCTGCCTTTTGTGTCCCAGAGCAGCACACAGTGTGCCCTCAGAAACAGAGGATTTTAGGAATGCTGCTGCTTTATTCTTCCAGCCAACCCTGTTTCACTGAGGAGCTGTGGGGTTTAGGCCAGGGAAATAATTGATTTGCAATATTGCTGATACAGGAAATTGTCAAAATATCAGCCATTGTGGGTTGGTGTTCTGAAACTGTAGGAGCCAACTGTTAGTTTATCTTCTAAAAAAACTCATAACTTGAATTTTTTTTTCCCCACAAAGGTCAGATTTTTTGCAAAGGACAAATTTCAAAATTTGTATTCCATAGACTAGGTGTACTGTAGGTTCTCAGGAAAAATCAGACACAGTCAGTGTGCGTAACTATTTTTCCAGCTCTTGTTCTCAAAAGTGTCTAAAACACTTTAGTAGCACTTAAAAGCATGGAATATTAATAATAATATTAATTAATTAAATTAATAATATTAATTAAATTCTCAGCAAAGCTATGAATAATTGCAAATAGAGAAACTCAGTGAAAGACATCATATTTAACTGTTTTAGCTAGGTTGAAAACTAGCAAGAAATTTTTTACTACTTCCTTGGACATTAAAGCTTTTATTTCTGTTTTACATTAAATTGCAGACCCTTAATGAGAAAAAAAAAAAGAAAAAGAAAAAAAGAGAACACATCTCTGAATTACAGAATTATGAACAAGATCTTAACACAGCCTAAAATTCTGGATGGATTCCACTGCCCACACTGCTGTCCCGTGCACATTCCCACAGTCGCTTCAAAGAGTGGCACAGGGCAGACAGTTCCCTTCCCAAGAATTAATGGGCAAAAGAATTTCTCATTTCTACATTATGCTTTTAAGGAATTACATTTGCTCCTTCAGGACATGACTACAGCAGGTTTTGGCCAAGGAGATTTTAAAGTTACTCAGTTTATGCCCCCCTCTTTTTTTTTTTAAATTTGGAATCCAAACTAGTCTCAGATCTGTTTCTGATTGATTACTTCAGCATCTCCCCTGTGTGCAGATAAATGAATAATTTAAAATATACTATATATGGAGGGAAGCAAAGTGATCAGATTTTAGGATTAAAAGGTATTAAAGATTTACTAGCACATCAGGTACAGTTTGGATCTGATTCTTGCCCACATAACTCATTTTAATGTCATAGCATGGAAAAACTCTGGTTAGCAACCAGACACACAAACAGCTTAAGGCAAGAGACAGCAGATGGATGGAGAAATATCCTGGGAAACAATGGTATGACTTGCTTAAGTTTTCAACAAACCTACAAATTACTCATTTTTTAGCATTGTTTAGGGGGGAAATATTTATTTATTTATTTATCCTGGTGCCCTAGGCACTTTTTGTCAGAGGAGAAGGAGGGGAGAAAAGGAAGGTTTTGTGCAAAGTGTTAGGGAAATCTGAGGTTCATTCTTCTCTCCTCAAATATTTCCTTTAAAGCTGCTGTTTAAAAAGTTAGTTACTTTGTACCTTTCAAAATTTCCGATCCCACTTTTGCTTTAAACACCAACTGACAACTAATAGGAAAGTTTCCACATACAGAAACAACATTTTATGTTGCATTTAGAGAAACCATATTTTGTGTTAACTGCCATTTCCATGTGCCTTTGTGCTCTGGTTCCAGCAGCTGCTGCAGAGCTGAAGTGCTGCCAGAGAGCAGAGTTCTGCATTATTCCTGCCCTGTGCAGATCTCGGAAATACCAGCAGTTGCACTAAGCCCGTTCTCATGAGAGAGCTGGCACAAGGCTGCACATCAAAGAGCTTATAATAAGCATCTAAACATTTGTTTGTTTATTCAAACTGCTGAAACTTGGGGAGATTTATTCATCACGAGAGCTGGGTCACATACAATTGAGTTTGAATTTCCTCATTTCTGACAGAAAGCCTGGACAAACTTGGGCCGCATCTGAGGCAGAGCAGCTGGGGGATATCCTGCTGTGGCTGCAGAGGAATAGTTTTAGTCTCTCCTTAAAAGCTCCCTGTGACTTAACTGAAAATCTGCAACTGCATTTGACAAATGCATTTGCAGCTGTCATGGTACTGCTTAAGCATAAGGTCTGCAAATAATGGTCCTTCTCAGAAACCCCTTGTCCTTTAGGAAGTGTTGGAATGTAAGGTGGAGCGTGGTATCTGTGCTTGCTTATGTCCCAAGTGCTTTCCTGATAATCAGTTGCAGATAATTTTTGTATTTAGGTTTAATCAGCTTTATTATCTTTCTTTTACTGGAGATTTAAATTATATGTGGGTTTGATCTAAGACTGTTGATATTGTTATGTGTTGTGGGATTTTTTTAATTTAATGTAATAACAGTTCTTCATGTTTCAATTTATAAAATACAAGAATATAAATGCAAGGTATAAACTTTCACTAAATTAATTACAGAGGTGCTTAAAGAAAAATGTGTAAATTATTTAAGTATTTGTATCATACTTTATCTTGTTAACCCTTTGTACAGTGAAGAAGTGTTTCCTTTTATGGGCTAAGGATGAAGGGGCTGATGTCAAAGACAATTTATTATTTATTCCTGTCTGGTCTTTGTTGCTGTATCATTTGTTAAGAACTATCACTGATAACCAAAGTTATCAGTGTTTGGTGTTGATGATTATAACAAAACTTTAAAATATATTTTCACATAGAACACAGACTTCCTTTTATTTAATTTTAATAAAAGCAAGTCTAGTTGAGGAATAGCTGCAATCCCAAAGTCGATTTTTAAACTCAAATTCACCAATAGGAAAAACAGTGTGTAGAACTGAGTTCATCTTTGTTTTGCAGCATGGTAGCTCATTTTCCTTTGAAAAGAGCTAAAAAGAAGCTACATTTGGTTTGTACACTGATGCTGGTGTTTTCTGCAGAAACTGACTTGTGGCTGGGAATAATAACATGTACTCAGGATTATTCCCTGCCAACTGCCCTGAGGGTGACCTGCTGCTTTTAGAGATGTATTTCAAATATGATTTGGCAGGGCAAAACAAAATGTTGAGATGGCATTATTGCCTTCCCTACAGGAGGGATTTTAAATAGAATTCAGAGTCTGCTCATAGGGATTCTGTGTCTGGTGCATGCAGGTTTGACAGTCTGTGCCTACAGCATCCTTCTAAGGAAATCTGATATAGGGGGAAAAGTACCTTTCAAAGGTATCTACCTTTTATTTTGCTGTGTTAATCACCAAACACAGTAGGTATCACAAGCACAATCTCTTACAAATGTTCTAGCTATCATTTGTACTTACTCCTTTTTATTTGTAACATACAAAACCTGATTTCCTCAAATTGCTGCGACTTGGCATTTTCACTCCATCAGTGTCACCACACAGGTATGTTGTCTCCTAAGGTGTTTGTGCCATGCTTGCAAAAGCTCTGCTGGACTTCCCTGTGCTAACCTGCAGCCACTTCCTTTACACTTCATATGACACAAACCCACTGTGTAACTGAGCCCACCCTAAGGAAGGCTGTTTCTTCCTTTCTTTTTTTTTCTTTTGTGTTCACATTTTCAAAATCTTTTTCTGCTTCTGAAGCTGGGGTGTTTTTATTCTTGAGCTCCTTTATTACATCAGATTCCACTGCTGTGGGTGTTTCAAAACAGAATTCCTGTTGCAAGGACCTCAATTTCAGATGAGCTGACTCTGCCAGGGGATAGGCAGCACGCCAGGAGACTGATCTGATTACAGGCTGGACCTTCAATAAGGACTGCAAGATCAAGCATGAGGTACTTGAAGTATTTTCACTACTTGAAGTAGTAGTAATATTTTGGTGTATTTTCTCACATTGGGTATGCAGGTAATCCCTGTTGTGGTAAAGACATGAGCCTTATGCTCAATGCCAGGATTTTCATGGCATTTTTTCCACTTGAAAGAAAAAAAACTGGCAGGATGGGGAAGTCCCGAGGCACTGAAATCCGGTGGCACACCAGTCCTGTGTTGTACTCCGAGTGTGTAGGAGTGCAGTGTCACCAGGCCCTGTGTGGGACGTGCTGCAGAGCTGGGAGTAGGTGACTCACTACAAACAGCCAGCCCTGCTCCCCTGGCCCATGCAGGGCCTCACATGGCTCATCCCACACACTCAGCAGCTCTCTCCATCAGTGAGAATCACAGTGCCTTGGCCCTTTGGCAGAGGAGAAATTCAGTAGTAAGAAACCAAACCAACATTTCAGTGCTATCGATGTGCTCCAGAACCCCCTCTGAGTGGTTTGACAAAGTCTGCTTTAGCAGCTTCTCGGGGACCTGCCTCCTGAGCAGCTCCTCCTGTTCCACAGCTCTTACAAACAGTTGCTCAGAATTTTCTCTAGGAATGCAGCACCACAGCTTAAGTGCCCCGGGATGTTGAAGCCCTCCCTCATGTCTTAAATGGTCTGTTATCTGGTAGGACACAAAATGCAGTGTTGTTAATGTTGCCAAAGCCTAATCAATAGAGCTAACAAGTGTTTCATTAAATCAAGGTATCAGTATTAAAGAGAAAACAAAACAGCTTATTGTTTCCAGTCAGCTGTTTTGGGTACATTTTACTTCAGTAAATACAGAAGGTAGAATGAACACATTTCTTGCAAGGAGTAGTCAAGCCTAATTCTCATGGAATGGTTGTTTCCCAGTAAAAACTACTAATTCAAGCCAAATTCCGAAGTTTGTTTCTGTTAGAACAATACAAATGGCACTTCCAAGAATGAATGGATGCCCTGGTCTCGCAGGGATTTTTAGGAAGGACAACATATCTTGCACTTGTGAATGTTAAAGTCACATCTAGCTACACACAATGATGCATTCTCAAACGTTAGCAGCCTACTGATCTAGGATGAAAAAACTTGAACTAAACATTTTTTTCTTTTTTTACATTCTGATTTTTTTCTGCCTTCTTTAAAAACAAAAGGTTGAATTCACAGTGTTTGTATAGAGACTGGTAGGAACCTATGTGCTTTAATCCTTTCAGACTGAATGTAAACCAACTTAATTTGAAACACAACTTTGCCTTAATGGTTTTAAAAAAATAAAATATTTTTAAAAGTTAATTTAATGACATGTGCTGATCTTTTATCTCCAGGAAAGGAACTCACTGCAATGTGACATTCAAAAGGCAGCCTATTTGAAGCATCTTAAAATACTGATGCTTCCCTGTATACTGTTAGATGCCTTTTGAAGCAGGAGCATGTGTGTAACATACCCAGAGACATTGCATATGCATTTATTTATATATATTACCTAAGTCTGGTGCTGACCCACCATCCAGCTGTGATCTTTCATATTCTGATAGGTTGTATGGCTGATTTGAGACATCCATGAAATTCAACAAGTGCACTTCTGTGTGAAATGCAGCACTGACTAATTCAATGAGCAGGTCTTCAATTAAATCAGTCAGGGAAGCATGTCACAGGTAGCTGTTTTCCTTCCAGAATCTGGGGATATTTTAAGCTGGTAACAGAGTGCTGAAGTGCAAATTACAGCAGAGGAAGAAGACTCAGGTTTCTTCATCAGCTGTGCTCAGGAGCATGGAAGACCTGATGTTGAGCAGCAGAAAGTACTTGAAGACCCCAATGAAAACAACCTGTAAAGGCTGAGCATCCATGAAGAGCAGGAAAGGCTGGGCATGGTATCATTCAGGATGTGAAATCGCATATATACCAAAATATGATGATACTGAGACCATAATGCTCATGTTCAATGGGAATACAAGAATGTGGAATAACTATGTTCTAACAGCTGGGCACAGGTAATAATCCATTGTCATTCCAGGAAATGCCAAGTGGCACAAAGGACAGTCTCCTTTCCCTAAAGCATAGACCAAGGATGCCAGAATGCATCTGCTGTGGTACCTGCTGGTTTTTCTGCACCCACCAGGTCTTCACAGCCAGGTAACTGTGAAGCAGAGGCATTCCTGACTTGGTTTTTCCTGTTGTATAATTAACTGAGCTGTAGTGAGCCACATTAAATATTATGTAGTTTTGGTCTGAGGTTCTACTCCCTTTTAATACTGTCTTTTCCCCCTTCAATTCAACATAACAAGTACTTAAAGGCGTGGATATTTCTGAGGGCTTTAAATGACTCCTCATAATATCGTGAAGGCAAAGATAATGGTTATGAATAAATGAGATAACTGCTTTTGTCTTAAAAGGGCACAGAGGGAGCTGAGCAGGAAGGAAAACAGGTCAGAGATGTGACATCCCAATCTCACTGACATCTCAACTGCACTAGGCAGGCTTTTAAAACCTGCTTCTAAGAGAACAATCTGTTGTGAACAATGGGAAATCCAGGAGAAAACATATTTCAAGGTATGTTTGCTGCTGTAAATGTATCTTATGATCTCACATAACCATGTTGTTTTGGCAGCTTGATTATTAGACTACAATTCTAAGGTGGGAAAGTGCCCTCTTCAGTTCTAGGTTTAGCACAGAATGTGCTTCTGGTGTTTATATGGAACAGATACAAACACACCACAGCTTTTAAACAGCGTGAAACTGAAATATAATATCACACATCTTACATTACTTTGGTATCACTTTCCCTGAAAATGTAGTCTTTTGTAACTGCAAAAAGGAATCTGAAATGTTGCTTCCTAACATAGATCTTTTTTTCCAGATTTAGAGACAATACATATATTTTATTTATTAAAGCACTTAGGGCTTGAAAAGGCTACTAATAGGTCCATTATTGCTCCTCCAGTCACTGCAAGAAATTTCAGTCCTGAACACAGGGCACCAATATAGTAAGTTCAGGAAAAATAAAGATTTTAGGATACTTCAATGTCCTAAACAACTCATTGAATTACTGTTGATTTCTTTTAACACAGGTTCATTCTACTAAAATGGTTGGTTTTTGATGTTGTCATATTACAAATTATATGGATGGAAATGTTAGAAAAAAGAGATGCTCATCAAAGAACTAACAGGTTCTGAAGCAATGACCAACAGTAACTTGAGTAAAAAAAGATGATTTTATGATTAGGGAGCATTCTAGATGTATCCTTAAGGCATGTGACTCAGGTTTTACATATAAGCCACCTAAATCTGAAGACAGTCAAAACAAATAACTGAAGAAGCTAATTCTTGAGCTAAACAAACTGCTGTTTCTATAGAACTTTTTACCTTTTTTACCTGAAACTGTGTTTCTGACATCCCTATTACAGCTGCAGCTTATTTGACTGGTTCAGAAAAGAATTGAGTGTATTACTGGGACTTTTCTATTTCCAGATTAACTGCTCTGAAAGTGAAAAAGAAGTCATCTTTATTGTAAAGCATAAGCCAAATGTATTCAGGGTCCTCTCCAGTTGCTGTGCTGACATGGACTGGAAGGTTAAGTGGGAAGTGAGTGCAAGGGACTTGTAAATATTTTTATTGATTGCAGAAGCATCAACCTTCAAAGTTTCAAGTCTCAATGCTGTGATAGCATTAAGATTACCATATTGAGAAATTTAGGTATTATATTTATGACATTTTCTCACAGCACTTTTATTTTAGACTTGAAAATAAAGCTTTACATTTCCTGCCTTATGTAATCTTACAGGAAAGCACTGCCAGATTAACAATTGGTGTACACTGGCTTTCTAGGGTATATGCTGAATTAAGCCAGATCCATCTGTTTCAGAATTTCGTAACACTGTAGGGAGTGTCAAGAACAACACAAAGCACTAAAATAGCAGATGTGGAAATCTGGACAGGGTTCCTATGCTCTGTGCTGTTTGGTTTGTTACTGCAAGCATTTCTCATGGTGCCAGCAGGCTCATCTGCCTTCCCTGCTGGCTCCTCAGCACCTCAGAGCTGCTCCCTGGCGCGGCCGGCGCTGCACGGGGATGTCTGAACCCAAGCCAAGGGCAAGGAAATGTGCTGCTCTCTCAGTAGTAGTGAGCTGATGAAGGTCACTTCTTTAAAAGGAGCAACATGATAGTCTCCAGGCAGAGAGAGGAGAAACCCCAGCCAAAGAACTGTCACTCTTGAACCTTCAAGATTTATGCTTTGTATCCATTTTTTTGCAGGATTTCTGCTGGGGCTTCCTTCTATCCATGTCTTGTATTTCAAAAGGAAAGGCCTGTAGGTTTTCCTTCATGGAGGGAAGGCAGAAACTTTTGGAATAGAACAGACAACAGTCCTGTAAAGGAAATAACATTAATAGCAGGATACACAAAATGGAAATGCTTATGTTCCAGCCTCATTAAACTACATTTATATTTAGAATTATTCTAAAATTAATTATTCTTCCTCTAGGCTGAAATATTTAACTTTTTATTACTCAATAATTCTAACATCTGTTTAGAGCCAACTGGGTGAAAAATAAAATCCCCAAATCAACTGCTCCTGTTAAAAGTGACCTTCACCTGCTCCCTGCTACAGAGAATAGCAACACACCTCCTTCAGCTGCCTTCTCCTTCCAGCACCATGCATGGGTTTTCTGGCATGCTCACTGAATTCCAAATAGGATTCCATGGGTAAGCTGCAGCTGGTGCTTCTGATGAGTCATACCTGGAGAGTGAATAAAGGTGTTAGAGGTTCCATGGGTGTTACTGAAACAGCAAAGCTTTCCTCTAAGTCTTGCTTGATGAAGATTTCTACCATGTGGGAGGATCTTCCAAATTCCTGCAAGGGTGTGTGAGACTTGGAGCCTCAGCACACTCTTCCTCACCAATGTCCACAAAAATGGCCTAAAGTACCAGGTACTGGAGGCTCTCACAACAGATCATTTTTTCCATAACTCCCAAAAAAAACTATTCTTACTTCCATTAATCCATGCACTTGTATTATCCTGGGAGGCTACTAAAAAGTATCACTATTGTATCAATATCACAGAGTTTTAACTGGGGTAGTTAAATGAACTCCATTCATTTGAGACAATTCAAATGAGACTTCATCCCTTACCCTCAATAAATGTACTCACTGGGTAAAACCTAGAACCATACTTGGTCCTAAAGCTTGAGTTAATGGCTCTCCTCTGAACTCTTGCTGGCAAAGTATAAAAGCTGTTGTGCACAAAGAAGTTATTTTTGCTATCTCTATTCTGTTCACAGCTCACACAGACCCAGTATTTTTTTTTCCCCAGGAGCTGTAACCAGATGTTAGTAATTGAATAGAAAGAAGCAAAACTGATGGAACATTTTAATGTATTTGCAATATAGAGTTTGAACAACTGGAAGAGAAACTAATTAATGTGTTATTCCTTTGCTCTGCAGCGAGACTTGACATCCCTGGTTCTCTTGATGTGCTGATCACCAAATTCCAAATAGGATTTCATGGGTAAGCAGGAATTGGTGTTGCTGATGGATTATTCTTGGGGATTTAAGGATGAATAAAGACATCAGTTTAGACAGAGGCGGACAAATGGATTCCCTGGGTCTTACCTAAATAGTAAAGTTTTCCCCTTGCCATGGTCATTTGCAGTTGGCCTTTCTTTGGAAGCTAGGCTTGGCTGTTTCTTTGTTCCTCTCCTTGTTTTTGTTTCTTATGTCACTATCTGGGCTTTAGCAGCAGATTCAGGTGATAATTATAACAAAATCACAATCAGCCTGCTTCCATGTGACTTGGAAGCTTGTCTTCATCTGTTGTCCTTTTCTGCGCTGACTGCCAGGCCCCTTCATATTCAGGAATGAGTGTGAGGCCTTAGTCTCTGTAAAGCCCTGAAAGTGGATTGCAGTTGCACAACCTCCAGAACCTATTGTTTTTTGTCTCTTGGTATCCTTAATATGTTAAGCTGGCAGTTTAAAAGGGGAGATTAGAGTTTAAGTTGGCCTGGCTATGGTTGCTTGCATTGCCAAAAGGCACACAGCCCCCCGGCTCCAAGGCTCAGTGCTTCCAGAGGTGCCCACTGGGCCATGGCAAAGGAGAGAAGCTGTTCCTGCAGGTGGGAAAACAGGTAAAACAGGTGCTCAACTTGCATTCTTTTGACTGAAATGAGTTGCCAGCTAGTGCAGATTTTGGCCAACAGAACTGGGGAGATCATGACTATGAACCACTGCACCCCTGAGCATGTACCTGTAGTCCTGCTCACTCAGTCCTGGGATTTTCAGCCTAACTCTTCTTTCAATGCCCTATGAATTAAACTTACCATGTAGAGTCAAGCCCTTCTTTTAAACCCTTATCCTGATACAGTTCTGTGTTTAATCAGATGATTCTTTAATGTGTTTTCTCCCTTCCATGACCAAGGGAGGAGAGGGCCATTTCAATTCCAAATTTAATAGTCTCAATTCAGGCAAAACAGCTGCCAAAGCATGCTGCCATAGCTTATTTCTGTTTTGACATCAATCCTGTCTGAGAGTAACATATATATATATATATGTATAGGGATGGTATCTTTACCAAAATATGTAAAGGAAAGGCTCTGCCCATCCCTATCCACGATTGACCCCACATGACTGGAAGTTGAGTGGGAAACAGCTGTAGTATTACATTTATCACTTAATACCTACAATCATGTCCGAGGTCAGTGCTCAGTCACCTTCTGCTGAGGTGAGCAACAAGGGATGAAACTTGTTCCCTTTCCTCCTTTCTTCAAAAGCCACCTTTTCTCCATGTCTTTAGAAAGTGTTGCAATAAAACAGAAGTAATTATTTTAAATTATTAATATGGTCAGATTATGTAATTTCCTCTCCCCTTTTCTGAAAGGGTAATAGGAAGAAGGGTATCAACTTGTCCAAAGACTTTTAAAAGCATTTCTATTATCTTTCTTTTTGTGTGGTTTTGACATGTTTTAAGACATTACAGATAATCACTGGAATTATTCCCAGTTGGATCAGAACTAATGGCACTTACCAAGGCACTCTGATAAAAGACTTGAGCAGGGTGATACAGGCTACAAAATCATTGAAGTAAATTAACTGAATGAAACTTCAGAGGATATTTGGAGATATTTAAGTTTATGAACACTATACAGAATAGCTGCAAAGTCATGACTTTTATTGATACAGCACCTGTAAGGAAATACACTTCAGCTAGCATGGGTAGTCTCATGAAAACCCTAAAATCTGATCTGTTTCTCAAGTCCCCTTAGGTACAAAAGTTAACTAAAATCCCTTTGCCAAATCCAAGGTCAGAAGAGTCTTAATTTGGCCACACATTAGCCTAATACTAATCTGAATTACCACATTTTAAAAAACAACCTGTCACTAAAACCTTTCCAATTAGTCCAGCTTCTTTGCAAAGAGGCCCAAGAAAGTATGATTTTCTTGAGCTTCAATTCCTATGTTTCAACATTAACTCAGCTCAGGAGTGAATTGATGTACTTGGGTCAAGCACAAGCAGGAACCACAGCCAATACAGAGATATTATTCTACTTTTGTCTCTCTCTATTGCCTTGGATAAATTTTTACTTCTCTGGACTTTGAATTTTCCCTACATGAAGAGGAATAGTATGTGTTTACTTACTTCGTGGTGTGGGTGTTTAAAGCACTAATTATTGTTTCTGCAGATCTCTTTTAATGTTACCTAAGCAGTATTGCTAAATTAATTTTGAAACCATAGTCATATGTGTGATTCACTATCTGCCCTGGCCAGTTTGGTAAGAAACTTATTCTCAATTATTTACAATCAATGTTTTACTTTGAGTGATACCATCAGAGGAATCTTGAAAACTCGGATAACAAGCAGTAAAATGATTGACAAATTTCCACAACAGGCAAAAAAAGCAGGACTTTAAGAAAGATTAGAAGCTTCCATTAGCTCACTGCAAGTATCTTCTATTCATTGCCAAGGCCTAGGTTAACTGAAACAAACACATCTTTTCAAATAAAAAGCCCCACCTTCATTCAGAAAAGCACAGTGTGTAGAAAGACCCTGACAGGCTGAAATGCTCTATTTCTGACACCTCAGACTGCCACACTTGGAAATATCTGCTGAATCCTTCCTAAATTCAAGACGCTTGATTTGGGAATGAAAATAGTTAAATGTGCTCAAGTTTGTCCCAAATGTCTCTGTGTTGACAATCCTCTGCTGTTAAAAAGAAAGGATAAACCTGGCGTGTCAGGGCAGGAATCAAGCCCCTAAGCCCAAATTCTCTGAGTAGCTGCTCTTGGCTCCTCATTGGGCTGTGTGTGGGAGGGAATCGGCCCCTGCCACAGCAGGGACACCAGGGAAGATCCTCCTCAGGTCAGCTTTGCCTCCACACAACTGCCCTGAGCAACCTGGCTCTGGAAACTTGGGCCCAGCCACCACAGCCACAACCAGAGAGTGCTGGCACTTCACCTAGTCAGAGCCTACTTGTAGCTTCAGAACAGAAAAAATCCAAACCAAACCCTCTGAGCTGCAATCACTTTTGGTGACTTTCAGACATTTAAATGTCAGAAGAGACTTCAGAGATAGGATACTGAGAAATACTCCCAGTGCAGGTAACCGGGTTTGCAGGCTCCATGCCAGCTGCACATTGTGCCACAGATGGTAGGGAACAACTGGAGCCCCCAGCAACAAGCCAGGAATGGCTGCAGATCCTTTCCCTAACAAAGGGCTCAGGGCCCTGCATCACAGTCTGGGAGAGGACTGGTCATCCTGAGGCTCTTCATGAGCCAGTGAAGAGCAGGAAGACCCCAAACCCAAAATTCCCCATGGGCATAGATGGACAGACTGTAGGGGTATAAAAGCCCAGGGGTTCCTTTGTTTGAGGCCCCTCCCAGAGGAAGCAGCCTGAGCTGTTCCTGCTGCTGTACAATTCAATTATTAAACCTTTTTTCCTGAAGTTTGATCCCTGACAACCCTGGGTAAGAAGTTTCTTTAACAAGGAAATAAACCCAATCAGGAAAAAGGTGTTACTGCATGCTTCTCTTAGCCCATCCTTGGTACTGATTGCCACAAGTCAGCACAGCAACTAAACTGAGCCAAGTGTGCCAGTATCCTTCTGGCTCTGTCTGCCCAAATCCCAAAACCTGAGACTCACAGCAAACAAAGGAGCCAGTTCTGCACTGAGAAGAAGGAATTAAGACAAGTAATTTTACACTACCTTTCTGGACTGCACTCAGATTTCATCGTTTAAGGTTGCCTTCCAGCTGCTACTTAAATTCATTCTTCCTCCGAGAGTAAGCATGGCATGGTACAACTCTCTTCCCTGCTCACTTTAAAGATTAACTTTTGCAAATAGGATGACAGCCCTGTGCTGTGAATGCAAACCTAACAATCCATGGACATTTATATTCCCTTTATGGAAAAAAAACCCAAAACTATCTACTATTGTGTGTGATCTATATTGCCCTTGCATTTCCAGGTGCTAAGAAAATAGAAAAGAGCACTCCTTGTGCTTGAGAGGCTGGACTGTGCTTATCTGTAAGTAGAACACTCACAGTTGCTGATCATTTAAATTTAACACTAAGACCTTCATCTGGTGGAATCCACAAGAACATACAGTTATGTACAATTAACATACATGTAATGGTAGGACAAGGGGGTTTGCTTAAAAATTGTTTGGGATTTTGTTGCTTGATCTTTCCCTGGCAGGTCACCAGGACTGGAACAAACATAAATTATTGAAGCAGCTTGTTTTGACTGTACCAACACACACTGCTCTGCTACACAAACTGCAATGAGACCTAATGATGAGGAACTTGTCCTTGTCAGGGGTGAAAGGATCCTTCATGACACAGGCTTCTTCCAAAAGCCTGCAAAAGAATAATTGCAGGCTTTTAAGTGTATACTTCACAGTAGGGGAGGTTTAAGAGGGGGAAATCGTAGAGGCTGAAAAGTTATCAGTCCTTTGTACTTGATTTGCTCATGTTGCTGTTGTACATGAGGCAATGCAGCAGCTCTGCAGGTCCTTTTCTCTTCAAAACCTTCAACTCTGCAGCTGCCTTAAGTCCTATAACTGTACTTTCTATCTCTCTCCCAAAAGCAGAGCAACTGGTGAGTCTCTCGGTGTCATCTTTCTAAGTTTTTCTCAGTGCCCTACCTTACCTATCTTCCATTTTTTATAACAGGCATTCCTTAGCATGGCAAACTTCAGTACCTTGTCAAGTCACCATTTCAATTGCACAGCTTTTAACCAGAGGTTCTCTTCCAAAGCTGCATGCATGTGAGTATGAAACAAAGGTTTTACTGCTCTTGGGTATGTTGCTGCTGTAAAGCTGAGGTCCCCAGCTCCTGAAAGCAGGAGCTACCTGCAGAGAGCCTTGCAGTTACCTCCAGTGTGCTTAACTTTATGTCACAGACTGTACTGCTTGCTCCAGGGTGTTGAGGGAGTACATTTATTAATAATTTGGCAATCTGCTTGGGAAAAACTACAGCTTTATTTTTCTGGGAGCTCCAGGCAACATAATACAGAAGCCAATTGAGCATCTGTCTGCACAGGGCTTGCAGCAAGGGCACCTGGCTTACTCCCAGGCTTACATAAAACTTGGATTATGGGAATAATATGGATAAAAGGTATTCTGTCAACTCGTACTGCCTTCTCCTTGCCTCCACACACACAAAAGTGTGTGCAGGAGTGTGTCCAGCACTGTGCTCCTCTCTCCTTTTTCTGTCCACTCTAATAGAAAATGATTTGACCAGAGCCTTCTACTATTAGGAAAGATCAGGCATCTTATCGTGGCAGATCACCCTGTCAACGAGTCCCTGGGATACAAAGACAGGATTGTGTTTGCAAAGCTCCCCTTGCAGGATTCTCAGCTCTCATCAGTGCAGAGCCATTTGACAAGGCCCCCTGTCCAGCACATTTCCTGCAGCACTGCATTTAGGATGTGTGAGCAAGTCAAGAAAGATGGGATGTGAAGCTGTTTCTTAAAAGTATCTGTAGAAGTGTGATGCTTCAGCATTATTCTTTTGCTTTTGGCACCTGAGCAATCCAAATAAAGCTGGGGTGTTAACTCTGAGATTGGAAAACCTAAATTAAGATTCACATTCAGACTCTTCAGGAATGGACTTGATCAAAGGTGAGCCATTGCTCTGCTGAGTGGAAGAGGGAAAATCAGTAGCACTGTGGGGTTTGGAATGATAAAGACAGCTGCCCAAGAACAACAGCCCCAGCAGGTGGTGATTAACAGCTGTTTCCAATCTTTAAGAAACTGAGCAGTCTTACTGGGGTGAAATGCTGAGTACATGCCTGACTTCTAGCACCAGAGAGTTCCTGAACATGTCTGCCTGATGAATTTGTTGACCATGATGGCCTCCACCAAACTACTCTTGCATTTAAAGCAAAATGCTTTATTTTATGGGGAGTTTAATGTCTGCAGACAAAGCTGTAACTGTATAATTCCTAGTCAAACTATCCCTACTTAGCAGAGAGAGAAAAGGCTCTGCTCCCTGAAGATATAAATACATAGTGAGCATCCACACACCCTGATGTCGCAGGGTCTGACAAAGGACTGTCCAATCCACACAAAAAAGCACTGCTATTCAAAACTCCACATCATGCCATATAGCTGTTAAGAAGTGTTTTTGCCATATACATTTCATTCATACTGTGTGTATGCATTGCTCAGCTGAGGGAGGCTACAGTGAGGGAAGGGCTATACCCAGAAATACCAGGCTGGCAGTCAGCAGTATTCTAGCAAGAAAATATTGGTACAGTAGAGTTGTCAGTGGGGCTAGGAAATGGGTTAAATACAGATTTTTTCATGATACTGAAGCAAGGCACAAAAATTGTTTTTCCTACCAGCACTGACAATTTTTAATATTCCTTCCCCTTGGAAAAAAGGAGATCACTTTAAGTACCAAGCCTCATGTTCAGGTCAGCAGAGTACTTTGGGCTCATGCAGTGAACACTATAAGGATTCTAATGTCCATAGCAGAAATGAAGTCTGTGATCTCAGAGATCAAGTGTGAGTTTGGTGACATCCACCCATAATATGTGTATGGGGCTGATAACTCACACAGCTCACATCTGAACTCTCCTGGTATCTGAACTTCTTTGGGAGCATCCATTTTTAAGCTACCTGCAAGAAATACACACCAAAAAAAGTCTTTTAGCTTCAAAATGCAATGCTGGGAACATATCTGCAAGAAGATTAAAGTGGCCTGAGACATCTGGCTTTGCAAATTAAAATGCAAAGGAAAACTGACAATTGCAGACCTTGATTAGCAAATATTTTCTCCCAAATCAAGATCGTTTCTCATGTCCCAGTTAAATTTTCAGATTCCTTGGACAGGTCTATAAACTGCAGACTGGGACCCTAACAATAAAGTTCACCTATTAATTTGGAACATCCATGAAATAACTCAGGTGACAAAGCACATAGCTGCGATCTCAAAACCCTCTGCTCAACTGAGATCTTTACTCCCTAAGTGCTTCCCAGGACAATGATCCCTATCTGCTGCTATGCAGAATTCCAATACAGTTCTGCAATGCTCATCTCCTCCCTCAAACTGGAGCCATGAAAGGGTTTGGCACCTCACTCAGGAGTCAGGTATCAGGAAGGTAAGTGTTGCGAAGAAAAGACTGTGTCTTTTTCTTTGCTTCTGGTTCACCTTGGAATAGAGTTTTGGAAGCTTACCCCTGTCTCCCTGTTCCCATTTGGCTTCCTATGGAAATAAGGGCAATGGAATCACCCTATACCTTGATGAAGTGTTGGTCTATTCCAGCTACATGGGACAAAGAAGCAGACACCTTTAAAAAAGTTCAGGTACTATAACTTTTGTGAAAATAGGCACAAGGGGAAGACTTTGCTTTATCCTCCTGGAGAATACGCATGTATTTCTAGAAATAGGAGAATCTGCACATAGGAAAGTTATTGTCCATCCTTCTGACAGACTTCAGGACTCACTACAGAGGTATGGCCATCAGTCCCAAGATACAACACATAGGAAGTCATGTTGCATCAGCTTTGGTGCTAACAGATTACTTGTTTAAAATCCTGGCCATTGATTTACATTTTGAGAGCTTATTCTTCACCAATACCACTAATATTAGTTGAGAGTCACACCTTCAGCTTTTTCCAAAAGCATGGTGTGGCAAGTAGGCTTTTAGGATTGATTTAAGTCTGTATCTACAATCCTATCAAGCAGAGCTAACCACGTGCATGCTCAAAAATGGTACCATTCCATGAAAGAAATGTGGTTGTTTGTTTGCAAACCGGGTATCTTCGCTCACCTGCATCATTTTCTTGTACAAATAATTCACCTTGCAATTATCAAAACTACAGCTTTTAGCTAAAAATCCTCATGTTTTTCATGGTACAGTGTTCTGCTGCAAACCAGTCAGCTTTTGGAAGAGAAGCAGGGCTGGCGTCAGGCTGTGAAGAGGTGAGCACCAGGAACCTGGATTTGGGTGATAGCTCAGCAGGTAAGGTTGTGTGTGCTCCCAGCTGGGCACATCTACAGCCTGCCAAAGGACAGCAGGGCATTCCCACTCTCCCAGCTCTGCAGCCAGACCCCTTCCCTGCAGAGCTGATTTAGCTCACTAAGGCCACATCCCTAATTATACTTCAGCTCAGGAGTTTTCTTTGGGAACAAATTGCCTGGCTATCCCTCCTTACCACATGTTTGCACCACAGAGCAGTCTCACAGCACATAAACCAGAGGGTTTCAGAAAAAATAATCCAAAAATTGTGCTCCAGAAGCACATCCAGAAACATTTAACACGCTCCAACCTGAATGCCCAGCTGGTGGCCATGCAGCCTACAGAGGTGATCTAAAACATCCCGAAACACAGAGAATGGGCAGCTGGTATCCAATATCCACACCTTGGTCCATGGTTTCTGTCGTACTAAATCACAGTAGTTACTAATGCAGTGACAAAACAAAAAACAAAAAACAAAACAAAAAAAAAATCACTTTTGAATTTTCTTCTTCCAATATTTTTTTTCTTATTGCTTTTAATGAACTAAATTGTCTTGCAGAGGAATCCAACAGCTGCTAACACCAGCACAAGGTAAGAGGCAGAACTGCAGCACCAGCAGAAAGGCAGGGCTGAGATGAGGGACCTGCACATCCCTCTTTTGGTGACAGTAAGCTGCTATTTCTGCTTGCCCGACCAAGTGAAACTGAATCCTCAGAGACATCTGCTGACAAGGTGAACTAGGGGCAAGGTGAAGCAGAGCTGGGACTACTTGGCATTTAATGTTCCAGAAGAACAGGGAGATCCCCACAGGTTACAGAGGCTTCATGACATACATCCAATTCTAGCCTGTTAAACCCTGAAACCTAATTCTGGAAATAATCTCCCTTACCTCATCACTCCTTTACTACCAGCCTCTCCACTGCCATTCTTGGCATTCCAGTAGCACAGAGTTCTTCACATGTAACACAAATGGGCTGGACACTGGATTTATAAATAAATTCACCTTGAGAATACTTTAGGAAGCTATTTTTTTCACAAATTATATGACCCCTGGCTATGATGTGTTTTGTCTACCTCACAGGGATGATTGAGAGCATTTAATTGTTTTCAGATTTGTCAGGTAGTTATATGGCATGTACATGCTACCTGTGTCTCCCTGTATATTGTAATTTGGATTCTTCACACTATGCACTAACTCAGGTAAGAAGTCTACTTTTTGAACCCTGCATTTTAGGACTTCCAGCCAGGTCCCCCTGACATACCTAACTTTACCTTTTCTGCAGGTACCCAGCAGCAATACCAATACATGCACTTAACGGAATGAGATTCAGATCAACACTTGCAATTTTTTTGTAATCAGTCTTCCTTAAAAAGAAGAAATCATTGACACCAAAGGAGCATGGAAAGTCACTTGAATCAAATTGAGAAGACTATAATGCTGACTTTTTCTTTAAAATAGAGGAAAACACCAAGAACAACAACAACAAAAAGTAAGTATTTATGGCAGTGAGGGTCATAGACTTTGGAATGGATATGTCCTGATCCCAAGTTAAAATAACAGCCCTGGGTTCAGAGCTGAAGTATGTTAGATATAGAAACACCTGCTCTCTCACAGACCATCGGCATGTAGAACACTGAATCTGTTCAATGCCTACCACTGGGAAGGAATGATATCTATGTACAAACACATTTTTGGCTATGCCAGTTGAAAAGCATATGATCCTGCCTGCAAGGCACAGATGAATTTATGATGCTTTCCATCTTGCTCCCAGCTTACAAGTCACTGGTAGCAGCTGTACCAAGTTTTATTTCACTGGGAACATCATTTGTCCTGAGAGCTTGTCTACACATCAGCACTTGGGAAAGTTAAGGTTCCTAACTAAAGGTGTGAGGTTTATGCACAGATTTCATAGTGAATGCTCCCATTCAGAAATAAGGCTTGCAGTTCAACAAAGTAAAGCCATTTCCATCTGAAGAAAGATATTTAATGTCAAGTTTATGCATGTGCTTCACACCTTTAGTCTAAATTGCCAAGCAAACAAGTCCCAAGATGCACTTTCTCACAGTCACTTCCAAAAAGTTCATTTGCTTTGAATAACCATGGCTTTATGCTATAAATTCAGCTGAGCCAGATGAAGGTTTATCACATTGGTCAGCTCATTGGTTTGGCACTACACACCATCTCAGCAGGATGTGACAGTGTGCCAGGTGTTTGTCTGCCCTCCAGACATGTGAAGCAGAGTGAGAACTCATTTCTCCCTGCAAACCAGCAGCAGGATAAAAAGCCTCTTGAGGAGAATGTCTGGGGCACTAATCGCTTCTTAATAATGACAGACAAATTTGTGGCCACGAGCAACCCAAATCATTACCAAGTGCTACCACTATTTTTTTTTTACCTTGGAACCTTCTGAAGCAGCACCATTTCCCAGTCTGAACAGGTCTTTGACAACAGCTTGTCTAGAACTGAATCCTGCCCAAGCATTTTCCACTCTGACTGAAAGCCACAAGATATTTTTAACACATCTTTACTTGACACACATGCCCAGCTCTTCTGGAAAGAACACAGTTATCCACATGCTTGGGTAACCACTGAACTAACACACTCCACACAAGCCTGCCAGGTCAAGCCTAGAGTGCTACAGGATGTGTGTGACACTGGCTCACATACCCTGGCAAAAGGTGAAGCACACAGATTTCAGTGCCATAGTAAGTAAGTAACTGCAGTAAAAGAAAGACATGGGTTAGGTAGTGCTGAAAGAATGTTTCTCTGTGCTGTCTGCAACTGATACCTGATACAGACATGGGGAAATGGCTCTTAGTCCAGTTCTCTGGAGACTCCTAAAGACTTCAGGGCAATTCTGATCTGAACACTCTGCTAAGAGGCCTGGAAGGCATGCCAGAAATCATAAATCACCCTTAAATTGTCAGGGTCAGTGGCAAAGTAGTAGCACAAAGTAATCTTTTCTTTGCTTCAAACCTCCTTAGCACAAGTATTTACAATGCATAGGTTAAGCCCCTCTTAATACTCCACAGGAGACTCCTGTATTTCTGAGTCACTGATAAACTAGAGAAACCATACAAGAAACAAAGTACCCATAAACAGATACAGACTTTGATTTGAAAGGCTGTCAGATAAAACCAACATTGACACACCCTTAATCCACTCCTAGAAAACCCTTGTTTCTTTTACCTGCCAGGATTTTCCTGCAGTATTCACTGTTGATGACAATAATCTATTAAAATACTCACAACTCAATTTTCTACAGGTAGGAGCGCTCTCTAATAGAAAGGCAGTTCATACCCTGGCATGTGCCAGAGTTTGGTGTGACAGATATTTAAACACACTTCAGCACCAGCAATGCACTTGCCTTCTTCAGAAAAGCAATCTGCTTCCTAATTGATCAGGCAGTAGATAAATAGGAGAACCTTCTGACTCACTAGTTAATCCCCAGGTGAACAACTTTCTTCCTCCTGATCTTTTGTGCTACAGCCCTGAAAGCATGTTTAGGTCACCTGTGGCTACCTCCCTGCTCTTCCTCTGAGGTGATTTACCTTGGGTTCAGCATGAATTAGCCCAGGACTGTAATTTCACAAGGTGTGAACAATCAGAACTTTCATCCTTACTCACTCTCCCAAAGATCCCTTGATTGAATTAAACCTTGATTTGTTGCAGCACCCTTTTCCCCCAGGAGGCTGTGCTGGCATTGCTATGCTTTCTCTGCTTGGAAGGAATGGAGATCCCTGCAGGCTTCCTTCTAGCCATGGGTCATAGAGCAGGGCCCAAGCCCCACTCCCGAACAACAGCTTCCATGGATTCCCCATGGCAGCAGCAGGATAAACAGTCTAGGTGGTCACAGATGTGAAAGCCAGTGTGTTTTCTGAACACTGATTTAGTCAACAGATCAGCGCAAAGGTGATGCAGAAGCTAGAGAGCTTTGCATCTCAACCAGCCTGGGGAGCACATCTCCATTACAAGTCACTTTACCAGCAGAATCCAAGTATTTTCCTACAACTCTTATCAAACAAGAACTATCTTTGGTCTGAACAACCTCAGACTGCTGCACCTGGGCAGAATAAAACATTCAGGGGAGCCTTCATCTGGCTCTTGACATAACCTCGTTATATTTGTAGAGATCACAGACTCTGTTTGAGGCAAAGTATCAGTGAGACAAGGTATCACCAATGCTTTCAGTGTAACAGCTTCTTGGACCGTAAGTTATACGGGAAGTTAAGGCATGAGGAAAATATTTTTGGTGTGGGACACAGAAGCATGAAGGTCTTAAATTTTGTTTACATAAAGTTCGCCATTTCAGCTGTAAGAATATAGTTATATATCCTTACTAACTACCGGTGCACAGGTCCACTTCTTTGGCCGAAAGCTGCCTGGAGCTGGAAGACAGTGGCCCCTAGCTCGGGAACCGTGAGTGCCTCCGTTCGGCAGTGCCCGGCCAGCAGCTCCAGCCGGCGCTGTCCTCCCCCGCTCCCGGTTCCCTTGCCCTGGCTCACGTTCCCGCCCGGATCCCGGCATATTCTCTGCCCGGTTCCCCTTTGCCGCACAGTTCCCGGTTCCCAGCTCCCCCGGGCTCTCCCTAGGTCCCCACTTCCATCCCCACGCGGAGCTCCCAGTCCCTTTCGGCCCCGTCTCCGTTCCTCGGTCCCTCCTCAGCTGCCTTCGCTTCCCGGTTCCCGTGTCTGCGTCCCGCACACCCTCAAACCCCATTTCCTCTTCCGTCCCGAGCTCCTCTTTGCCTCCCGGTTTCCGTTTCCCGCCGGCTCCCAGTTCCCGGGGCCACCCCTTTCCCCCGTTCCCGGTTCCCGGGATCGCCGGGCACGGGGCGGGGGCGCGGGGCGGCCGGCAGGGGGCGCAGTGCGTCCGCGTCCTGCCTGCGCTCCTCCCCGGCTCCGGCTGCGGGGGACGCGCCGTGTGCCCGCCGCCCTCGGGATGGGCACCGAGGTGTCCCCAGCGTGTCCCCTGCCCTCGGGATGAACACCGAGGTGTTCCCGGTCCTCGGTATTTTTTGCTCTTCTATCAGTATGTGCTCAGCCAGAGGTGAGGGCTATAACTCAGCGCGGCGCTGGCTCCGTGGGCATCACCTCTGCGAGCTGGGCAGAGGAGTTGATACTGCCGTGAGATACAAGGTTACGCTTAGACACAAAGCTAAGCATAACCTAAGGGTGGGAGAAATATTTTGAAAGCAGCTTCTACTCAGGGACTGGCTGTAGTGGAAACTGTTGACATTCTCAGTGGAATATGCAAAATTTAATAGCAGTGATAAAAAGAGAAGGTGCTGGATGAATCCTTTCATGAAAATAAGCGCATTTATTTTAATGTTTGCCCTTCTCAGCATGTTTGCTTTCATCAGCTTCCAAATGCTGATATTCCTTAGTGCCTCTGACATCAGCAAGTTTCAGGCATCTCTCTCAGTTTCTTCAGCTGAGTTAATCTCCACATGCTTTTCCTGAGTTACCCATCTGATGTCTTCAGAGTATTTTGGACGAATTGTGCTTATAGCTGAGAAAAGTAAGGATTTCAGAATTGAATTGAAAAACACGTTCTGAAGAAAGGAGGTTCCAGACGCTATGAGCCACTCTCGGGAAGTCTGGTAGCCATAGGACAAACCATAGAGCACAATGAAGAAGGATGAGAGCACAGTTATGCTCAGAACCAGGCCCCAGGCCACAGGGACACACCACCACCACAGCAAGGGCTCAGTGTCTGGGATCTTGCGAAGCTGCCTGATGGTAGTACTTAGGCTCCTTCCTTTGGAAAAGATGCCCCACTGCATGAAATTGAAACTTGACTTCTGGGGCTTTGTACCCGTCTCAGGGGAATCTGCAGCTGTTGTCTCCTCCTCTGTGTCAATTACATTTGCATCTTTTTCAGATATTATGCAATTATTCCAGTACGTAGAATCTACCTTTGGGTACATCTTAGTCACAACAGGAGGAGGATCCTTCTGGGAATACTTAAATAAGGCAATTATTAACATTTCCACGGGGAGGGTAAGCAAAGCACATTCAATTCCTACTGTTATTGATCTCAAAGACCTCAGGTATATTGGAGCTTCTTCATCCTTTTCAGCATTAAAGAACATAATGTTAACAAGCAAGGTGAATAATAGTACTGCTAAAAATGTAGACAACCTTTGGAACCTGGTGAAAGCCCCAGCCACAACAGGAGCAAAAATTGAGAGCCATAGATGGTACTCTGTCAGTCTCCTGTTAAAATTAATAAGAAAATAGTCGAATTTGGGAAGAGGTGTCTGGGGGTCTATGACAGAAAATTTCCAGTCTCGCAAGGGATTGTTCTCATCAAGGAAAAGCCATTTTCTGCACAGAAAGAACCAGGTCTTCCTGGTGGACATGTCCTCAACTTCAGCCCTGCTTAAGAACCAGGTTGGAGATTTGCCATCGTTATTGAGCCTGACCCTGAAGGAGCGAATATCTCCCAGTTTTCTCGTAGTAGTTATCAGAAAGCAATCAATGCTTCCCCGTTGGAAAGCTGGAGAAGGCTGGTGCCATAAACAACGGAATTTACTCCTGCCATGCTGGCCGATGAGCTGCAGAAAGACTTCTACTTTGGTCCCAGCATTCCAGCGACTGCCTGTGTACAAAGTGACCAAAAAGCTCCCTTCATCAGAGACCTCATTGTCTGGCAGAACGATAATGTACTTGATCTCCTTCTCAACCCTGTCTCTTCTTATAGCCCAACAGCACAAAAGCAAGTAGATGGCAAAAATAAAGAGCACTGTTATGAGGGTCAGTGGGTTTTTAGGTATGTCTGCTATCAGGTTTCTCCCCAGATCTACTGTGTTGGGAAGAACTACTACTTTGGCTGCCAGGAACTTGATGCTGGATGCCGGAAGGGCTGACAGACTCCTGCGGTGCTTCGTGAAGACACAGATACAGTGTACCTTCTCCCAGTCAGTCAAGGGACCAAACACGCATGTATCGTTGCTCCACTGACTTTCAATCCCGTTCAGAAACAGGCACTGGTCATTAAAAATGTATATGCTCACCACTTTCCGGTTTGGGTACCTTAAGATATAGCGTGTCTCCAAGAGAACAGAGATGTTCTGAGTGTCTGCACCACTTTTCTGCATGATGTTTTTCACCAGGGACTGTGGGACACAGACTAGATAGGGACTTGTAATGCTACATTCATCAGTGATTGTCTCACTTCCACTTGCAGCTGTTGACATGTTGTGAAAAGCAGTAAAGGAGGCCACAGGCTGAGCATGAGTAATATTGGTACCTGAAAATATCAGCACCTTGAAAGTAACTTCTAATTTTGTGATAATCTGGAAGTATATGTTCATGGTAGTTTTACTGATCTCAAAACTAAATCCTCCAATTGTGTAAGCTTGTGTTTTATCAGGTCCCATTACTAAATGAAAAGTTACGACTCCACCTTTCCTGGCAAGAAAAACGTCTGCTCTTTCAGGCTTGAATAGAACTAGATCCCCATTAGCCTTATTCTCTGACATTTTAAACCCCATGACCATTGATACAATATCTGATGTGTGACCTAACCATGGGAAGGGGCTCTCATCAAATTCAAAAACAGCAGTGGAAAACACAGTATCCGGGCTCATTCCCGAAACATCTCTTTTTGTCAGTGTTGGAATAAAGCAATTGCGGCAGGTGGATATGTCAGGCAAATAATCTGTAATTTTCCAGACTTCATTTTTCTTCAAAGTGATATTCCAGTGTCCTGTTTCTATTAGAGTTTCTGTTTCTTCAGGGACTTTTCCCCAGAAAACTATATCTGTTACACCTTCCATGATGGAGAAAACATGTTGAATTCCATTTGCACTGGCATTCTTAAGACGCAGAAGATCAGCTCTCAGGACATTGGACAAGCATCTTAGTATTCCACTAGTCTGAATTTCTGCTTCCTCAGACCAATGGGTCTGACTCCTCTGTCTCTTCAGAATTCCTGTTACTTCTGTCAGTTTCCCAATGGCAAGGTCTTGTGACCTAACATTCATTTTCTCCGCTGCCTCTGTGACTTCAGAAAGAACAGCCACTACTTGATTGACTTCCATGATGCTGTTTACTGAAATATTCAAGGCTGTTTTAACCACAGTTTCCCGAAGCTGAGCCTGAGGGAGCTGGCCAATTGGTTTTTTTTTCCCATAGTTTAAGAGTGAGGCTGCAAGATAAGTCAAATAACCAGCTCTAAGACGATCCCCAGTCTGCTGAGCAGATGTTGACATGCTTAAATGGCTTGCTGAAGCCAGTAGTCGATGAAATATAGCTGAAAGGGATTGAGTTCTAAGTGGGCTGCTCACGTAGGCACGTAAATTCACCTGGGTAAATGCACTGAAGGAATCACGGACTTGAACATAAAGTGTCAAACTGTACCAACGAGAGGGCACTCCAGCTGGGAGAAAAGATGGAGGAGTTTTAGGCTCAGAACCAAAGTACAGAATTATGCCAAATGTGTTTTCCACCACAGATGTTACTGTGGTAGTTTGCGGTATTTTGGAAGCTACTATCACTTTATATGTCAGAGGTAAATGGTTGTCAGAAAATCCTCTACACTTAACAACAAATTTTGTCAGAAAGGCTATACCGTAGCGGGGTTTGATGTTGCACCTGCCGGGTCGAGGTGGAGTATTTACCGAAAAGGGTATTTTGGAGGATGTGGACCTACCATCCCAGGTACTTACACTTAAGTGAAGTATGTAGGATTGATATGCAGGCTTTATGAAAGTCAGAGCATTTATAGACATGTAAGCCCCAGACCTTCCCGTTGATGTTTTAGAGTCCCAATCAAAATTAATTTCTTTAGAGGTGTCTGAAAAAAGGGACCAGTAATAGAGTGGCCTGTTGCTTGGTTTACAGTTTGAGCATTTTCCAGATATGACAAATCTCTCTGTTGGAATTAAACTCCTACCACAGTTTTCGATGCATTTCATATCCAGAATGAGTGGAGGGCCAGGATATACCTCTACAATTTGATCAGCATAAGCCTTCCTTGTGCCCTTTTGAATCACCAGGCGAAAGTAGTATAAGGTGTTTCCTGGGAGGGATTCTGGTGGTATTTTTTGAATGGGACCTGAGGGTTTTATCCATCTCAAATCCTTCTGGAATGGATGGCATCTGTTTTTCCTGTTGAATTTCATGGTTGCATAGTCTGCTGAGTCTTTAGTGCAGTACCAAGTAAAAATCAGTGGTCCTTCCTGTGAATCAGGATCAGAGGATTCAGAGCCATCAAGAGTCCAGCGCTCAGAAAAACCCACTGTGCGGACCGCGCCTCCTGAGATATTTGCCAATAGATCAGCTCTCTCAATCTGAACATAAATCATATCATAGGCCTTGAGGACTGTTGAGGTCCTAATTGGGACTACCTCAGCAGTGTAAGTAAACAGATACAACCCATAATCTAAAGTATTAGCTGGAATAGTTAAATGTATCATTTTTGTGCCAAACATTGCAGAAGTGTTTACTGGCTTTGACCAGTCCGGCTCAGTTTTTGTGTCCTTAGCAGGATAGACTTGCCATAAAGACTTGATAGATATACCAATGTGGCACTCTACGTTCAACTTGACAAAGAGGAAAAATTCTAATGCCCTTTTCTTGTACAAGATAATGGATCTGGGATTAGGTCTATCAATCCAACACCTGCTTATCCAACATTCTTTTTGCTCACAAACCACTGGTGCTTCTATGGTTTTTGCAGTATGGTTGTTGACCCTGACGCTTAAAAGAGCTGGTGTAGGTGCACTGCTGGTGCAGTTCACTTTTGCCACAAACCCCGTGTATTTCTCTGCATCAAAGGGTAAAGCAGAGCGACGGACAAAACGCGCAGCATTTTTTACATGGTCATTGTACGTATATGTGCTGCTCTGGACAATATGGTCTTTCTTTGTGCCAAAAAGCTGCAGATGGAAGGTCCACTCGCACTGTAGCATCGGATGTTGTGCAGGGATAAACCACAGTAAATAACTAAAGTTCTGCAGAAAAGAAGGACGGCCAGTGCTGAAAACATGGATGTCAAGGTCTCTTTCTGCCAGTGACCTAATCAAAGCCCTCTTCTGGTTCATATAAAGGTACATTTTGAACTTGTACCACTGTAAGGCCAGAAACTCTATGGTGAGTAAGTAGGAGAGCTCCTTGTATTGGTAGAATATAGTGTGTGTGTTAGGGTGATCTGTGGAAAAGGTGCTGTTGTCTTTAGATGTGTAAAATGTTCCCTGATTGTACCTGAAAATGTAAGTGCTGCTGTTGGTCTTCCCTGGACAAAGGTTCACATGTATGGGAGTTTCTTTGCCAGCAGTTAAGATCAGGGTGCTGTTGAGCAGGTGCAGTTCCCCCATCAATTCCTCAAACCTCTCTCCATCAACATGGAAGTAAACGCTGGCCACCACTATCTCATCCGGGCTCTGAGGTGTAGAAATGGCACAGAAGTTGCTTGAAAGCGTAAATGAACTGTAGGAGCAGAGCCAACCTCCTACAGCCTGTGTGTCCACCAGTCTGTAGGCAAGTGTACTCAGGGTAAGGGGCTGAAGCCACCAGGATAAGCTGAGGGGCTGATGAGGAACACTAAGGAGCTTGGAGCTGATACTGAGGACATGCACCAAGTCAGGCTCCACCTTGAGAAAGAGGCGGAGGCTTATGTGAGGCATCTGCTCGATACTGATCATAGCAACGTGGATCCCGGGGTGCCTGTAGCGCACAGTCAAGCGGTAGCTGTAGTAGGTGGCACAGGTCTGTTGCAGCTCAACTGTTGGATAGACAGTAGGTGATGTTGTGTCCTGGTGCTCACTGCTGGGAAGGAGAAGGGTCGAAGGGACGCCTCTCCGGCTGCTGAAGCGGTACTGCCAGCCAGCACTCTTGAGGCGCGCACACCAGCCCAGCTCCACCGGCTGCCACACTTGGACAACGTGTGTGTGTGGCCAAAGCATGAACAGCCGCATATCCTGCTCCACGATCTCGACGCTCACGTTGTGGTGAAAGCACTCGGGTGCAGCGCAGGAGGCAGACGAGCACTGCACTGTAAGAAGGCTGGAGGCCCCGGGTGGAGGAGCTTCTCCTGACTGCAGCACCACCTGGCCTGACCAGCGTGAGATGTTCCTTAGAGAGGCCGAGTTCAGGTACCAGACGCAGCGAGGTGGGGATGGTGGCTGCCCCTCCTCCCCCTCTACCTCCAGCCCTGCTCCTGGGGCGGGCTGGTAATGCAGGGTGACGGTGCTGTTCCACAGGCACGACACCCTGTGCTCGTTGTCCTGCCGCTGGAAGACTTGGCCGTGAGGGGCCGGGCAGCTGACCCGCAGGGGTGACGGCTGCAGACGGACAGGGGAGGCCGCCGAGCCCCGGCGGCAGCAGACGAGCAGCTGCAGAAGAAGGAGGAGCGCGGCCATCGCAGCCGGAGGGGACGCGGGGGGAGGACGCTGCTCGTTGGGGTGGCCCAACGGCTGGGACAGCAGCCCGAGGGCACCGGGGCCTCCTGCGGAGGGCAGCTGGTGAGAACGCTATTTAACCTCGGGCCCCGCGGGCCGGAGGCCGGGCGGGGAGAAGGAGCAAAGACTTGGGGGCGATAATCGGCCCCGAACTGCTGCGGGCGCCCCTCCGCGGGGGCTCCGCGCGCCCCCGGCACGCGCCGCCCGCCCCCGGCACGCGCCGCCCGCCGCGCGCGCCGCCGGCGGCCCCGCCCCCGCGCGCGGGGAGCCGCGGGGCGCCGGGACGGGACGGGACGGCGGCGAGGGCATGGCCGCGCTGAGGGACTGCAAGGTACACACAGGGCTGAGGGGCTGAGGGGAGGGCATGGCTGTGCTGAGGGACTGCAAGGTACACACAGGGCTGAGGGGAGGGCATGGCTGCGCTGAGGGACTGCAAGGTACACACAGGGCTGAGGGGAGGGCATGGCTGCGCTGAGGGACTGCAAGGTACACACAGGGCTGAGGGGAGGGCATGGCCGCGCTGAGGGACTGCAAGGTACACACAGGGCTGAG